CCCATTTCATTTGTTCCAGACTGATTTTATCAATCTAATATCAACGAGCGTTTTTCATTTTATTGTAACGTGCTTTCAAATATTTTTCACGAAAAGTCAAAAAATCAAGTTAATAGGATGAAAGTATCATCTGTATCACCTGTAGTGCCGTTGATCGTTGAATGACTCGAGCGGATGCCAGTAAATCTTCCATTTTTCCCTGTCGCGTGCAAGAGTAGCCCAGTGGGTTCTGCATGCTCCAGAGGCTCGTCGAGTATCATATCTTTCTTCTGGGCTCTTCGTGAAGGACTCTGACCATCGGGTCGGTGGTCTTACTGCAGTGCATTTAACATCACGAGGAATCCTGTCACTAACGGCTTTTGTCCATCGGTTGTCATTCATACGCATTACGTGCTCGGCCCACCTTATCTTCGACTGTTTGGCGTACAGAGCGGCATCCTTGATTCTTGATCGTTGACGCAGATCGGAGCTTCGGAACCCGTCCCTTACTTGTGTAGAACGGGATACTCCTAGCATCGTCCTTTCGACTGCGCGATAACGCTGAGTGACCTTTTATCCTGCTTACGCAGTGACCAGGTTACTGACGCTTATCTTAGGGCAGGAAGTACCGTTGAGGCGAAAAGGTGGGCACGGAGTCGGGTGTCCTTTGTTCACTTCACTACATCCTCGATGCTCTTGAAAGCTCCCCAGGCCACTCGTTTCCATCTGCTCAGCTCTGGAGCTAGTTGTTCATCATAGTGCTCATCATATCATACCACACTCATCATATTCATCATCACATTCGTCATATATTCATCATATCGTTCGTTCATCATATTGATGAATTCAGACACGTAACGTTTGAAGGGCCGAGCCAGTGTGTTTACGAGGAGTGACGGAAGGTTCTTCAGGTGTTTTGGTCCTACTTATCCTGTCCGGTCCTAGTGCCGATCGATTTTTCATCGACGAAATGGCATGTCGGATTTCGGAAGGGAGAACCGGTTGTACAAATTATCCATTCCATCCTCCTTTATTTCATATGACGGAAGGTGGACGTGGGTATCGAAGAGATCTGAGTAGTATTCGTGAACGATTTTCTCCATTGAATTTCTGGACGTTGTAACTGTTCCGTCTGGGAGTCCGAGTGCAATCACCTTGGTGTTGTAATTGGCGAATCTTCGGTGGGCTTTGCAAATGCTTTTCCCAGCCTCTACAGCTTCAATCAACTGCTACTCTTCTCTCTTTAAGATCTTCTTTTATCGCCTATATGTATTGTTTTGCAAGTTCGGACGTTAGTTCGCGGTTGCCTTCAGCTCGTGGGATTCCATGCTGGCGTATCGGCACGTGTTTCTGGAGGCAGACGTCTCTTGGCGACTTTCGAACTCTCAGCTTTCACAGCGCTAACGTGAAGACGTTGAAAGAGCCAATTGTGTTCCTCGTCGGTGTTATCGACAACAGGATCTTCCCAACAGCCGACTAATGAATTGAATAAATTCCAGTTTACGGTGGTTCTGGGACTTCGGTTTTGCAATTTAGCTGCTTTTTCTCCTTTCCGCAAGAAATGAAATCTTGCACGAAGGAGACGATGGTCCGATCCCGTGTAGAATTTTGGGACAACAGCGACATCGGTTAAGCGAAATCTTCGATTTACTGTGATGTAGTTTATTTCGTTATGGTACTCTCCACTAGGAGCCTCTCACGTCTAGCGCTGAGGGTGGAACATCTGAAATTGCAAATTACCATGGGTTGTCTTGGTCGCCATGATAAACACAGAGAGCCGCTCACCCTGTTCATTTCTTTCTAATCCGTCGGTCCTAATGTGACGCTCTTCAGACGTTCTTCTTGGTCCAATCTTGGCGTTAAAATCTCCAACGATGACCTTGAGGAATGTATGGTCTTCGCTGAAGAACCTCTCTAAGTCCATATAGAACGCTTCGACTTTTTTGTCATAGCTCGACGTCGGCGCATAAACGACCACGGTTGTCAAAGCTGGTATTGCTCCACATCTTTTTAATCGTAAACGCCCGATTCGGGTTGTAAGATGTAGGAATGAATCGATGTTCATGGGCAAACTCGTGTTGATGAGAACGCCGACGCCGCCGACTCCTGTACTGTCTCATGTTCCGATGGACAGTTTTTCACCGGTGTTATAGACGGAGTTGAATGGGTGGCGTCGTCTCTTGTGGGCCAGGGCGATGACATTGTACCTTATTTTTCTCGCTTGAGTGATCAAGTCTTCTATCGAGGACTCGGATGCAAGTGTACGTGCATTGTAGGTACAGATCGTCACCATAGTTCTTTGAAATCCAGGCAGCTTCCATTGGCCCTGAGATTCTAGCAGCCTCTCCGTACTCGTTTTACCCAACGCTACCAAATTTGGGGCTCTTTCGGGGTCAAGGGAACAAGGCCCGTTTGTCTTACTGTGTTTAGTATTTCGATACCCATGTATAGTTTGCTGGGCTCTGAACGTGAGGTCCGCCACCTTGGGATGGGCCACGCAACCTGGCGACCAACCGGTTCTAGATCCCTCACATGAGGAACCTCCGTGGATAAGACAAAAGTACGGTAATAAAATTGACCCACACATGCAGATGGTACGTTAGTAGGTATCATGCGCGCCCTTGTGGTTCTCGCAATCATATCGCTGTTTTATCGTATGGTCTCTGCGAATGAGGTCGAATTCATGTAGTAGTTGAGCCCGTTTTCCTCTAAAATCTCCTGATAGCCGTGCAACAAGGACGTTTCGAAGTCCTCACCATAGGCAGTTGTGGGCCTTTGTAGATCGGACGGACATTTCCTAAAGCGTCACGATCCTTGACGGAGACTTTAGTTTAATTCTAACTACGATTTGGGATGGAGATATAGTACTCCTTTTCTTTGATTTCTTCTTTTCATTTATGATGTAGCACTGGTATACATTGAAGTTAGGCATCCAGGAACATCCCTAACCGCTGCGCACTAGTAAACCAATGCGGTAAAGTATAAATATGAATATATGCACCTATGCATATATATATGTACATATTTGTTTATTTATACAGCAGTGGGGTACTTGAGAGACATATGACTCGCAATGTCTCCAACCATTATGATGCCCTCGTCGACCATAAACAACAATGAATTAAGTAAAATTACCAACTGTAAAAAAATATCTAGGAAAGGTAGCATTTAGAAAAATGGCAGGCTTGCTAATACATTGCTTTTCAAGCACCTCCCTACCGTCGCAATCATGAAAATGCGACGATCACCCAAATTTTCGGCACGATGCAGAATCATAGAAAAGTTTGCTGCGTGCAGTGTAGAGAAGAGGAGCTCAGAAGACATGAAGGGTGTTGGGAAGGTGAAGACGCTAAACACGATTTCCATAGCGTCGCCGAACATGAGACCATAGAACTGTACGGTGAGTTGCACTTGCTCGAGTTCCAGATGTGTTTCGAACGGTCAGTATTGGGTGTGCCGCGCGATTCGCACCTCTCCTCCTCTGTTAATCCGTTCGTGAGAAAGATGTTTGATCGATGACTGAAACTAATTTCTCAATCAAGAGTGTGTAAAGTGTTTCAGGAGTTCGAAACTCTGTAGATTTATGGAAGAGACTGCTCAATCGCTTTAATCGCATATACATTTTTATATAAAGTCCTTTCAAATTTAAATACGTTCACAATTAAAACTTTCATTAAGTTGAGAACATAATTTCTGCCCGGGTAGAGTGCACCCAAATTGACCTTTCCAAGCTCTGAACAAGGCGAAATCCGCCGAAACATCATCATTACCGTCAATAAAGGATAAAATAGCACTTCACGTTTTCCCAGCAAGAGTGTAGAGAACTATTTAGTCAGTCCCGAGGTTAGTATAAACTCGGTCTTGGTAGTTTAAAGTTTTAATATTTTCAAATCGATACCGGCAGCTGCAAACATGGGCGATACCTTGAGAAACATCAGGTTGTCGCATATGACAAAACCCAGCTTGTTAAATTGCTTTCATTTTAAAAATACGAGTCTTTAGCGCTCTCGCGAAGGGTGACACCTATAGGTGTCACAATGGATTTGAGGGAGTTGTCATTGAGACACCTATAGGTCCCATTTTCTTTCCAGTGGCTTATTTCAACACGTGGAAGCATTTCCCGAAAATTTCTTTACTAATTGGTAGCTTGCAGTAGACAGATGTTTTGTTTGGCGTTAGTCGAGAAAAGCTCTATTCTGCACTTGAAAGTATACAAAAAACCGTTTTCCGAACGGGTTCACTGACGAAAAAATTTGGTGCTAAACGACTACTCTTTCAATGCTTATTGCTTTAGTGAATGATAGTTATCGTACCGAGTATGTTGGTATAAAATATACTGAAATAGAGACCTATAAGTTGCAAAAGACTTCCCAATGCTGACAATCACATGTTTGTAGGATGTGCCATAGCGTCATATAGTAGATAGCACCACAGATGTCGTTGATACCCATAGCTCGATAGAGAAAAGTCTCTTCTGGAACCAACTCGTGTGCACAACCCAAAAGTCCTCTAGTTATCGACAATTATTGTTTATTTTCGAAAAACCAGTATGTCCATGAACGCTGAAAATTAAGCGTCATACATTCCGTATCCAAACCCGAGATTAGGTGTCGTCGCGAGAGTGCTAAACGAAAAACAAGCGAAAGAACATCGTTTAATATGTCCTAGAAGATCAGAATTTCACCTTGGTTTAATAAGAAGACCTGCACCATTTAGGCTGATATCTGCAGATTTCTATACTTTTTGTTGCAATTAATAAAATTTACTATGTGCTACGACAGTTGATTGAAAATTCTAGCCGGCCAGTATATTCGGGTCGTATGACTCCTATAGAGGTCGCGCAGTGGAGTAACCGTTAGGAAAGTGGATTTTAGCCATTTCGATTTCATATACATTTATACAAGGGGAGTTGCTATATAGGAGTTCCAGACAGAAAACAACCCAAAGCTAACCAATAACATATATAGTAAATGTACTTCGAAGTAAATCAACAGATCACAGGTCGCCTAATACGATCGGCAATGATCGAATTACGATCAGGAACGAACGGGCTAGAACGTGCTTGTCGACTACAGCAAAAAATAGAAGACATTCTGCAACTGCAGACGGGCATTGAATTCACCTCCACAAGTGACGTGTTCGAGAAGGCTGTTGAACAGTTCGGTAAGTAAGCCGTTGATGTTTCAGGTGAATAGTGTTAAAAACAACTCCTAAATAGTGTTATCTCCCCACAAATATTTGCGCAGCTGACTTTCTACTCAGCTTTGTGAACGATCATAAAGTCTGCTCATAGCTAATCCCAGAGGAGAATTTTGACATTGCATAATCATACCTCCAGCTATAGTTATTACCGAATTCTGTTTTGCCAAGTCATCTCTGAAATATTTTGAAGATTCTGTACGTTTAAATATTTCTGTAAGTCACTTTTTCCAGATGTTCTTAGAATGGCTGCCAGAGAAAAAAAAAGGAGTTTCTGATTAAAAAACCTTGCTCCCAAAAGGCAATGCTATCTTAAAAGTATAATTTTGATAAACTTCTAAAATGGCCTTAGCAAAAAAGCCTTTTTTGGCACTATTTACTGACTATAGGTCTTTCTGTTGTAACAAGATCTTTTCCACGTCAATAAAACTGATTCTTATAAATTACACCATTTTCTCGTAACAATTCTCACGACTCTAAAAATACTAAAAATCCGTTATTTTTTAATTTCTACAAAAGTTTCTAGAGTTACAATAATCACTCCACGCTCTTGTAATGAACTAGGCTCAGCGGACAATTTTAAGGAGATCTGATAGAGCGACGCCTCAGAGCAATCAACGACGTATCACCATCCAGCTATCAGAAACTTGCCAACAAACTTTGTTACATGCAAAGCACAGCACGCCGACAGAAGTCGGTCTTTATTCATTTCAGCTCGGTGCGGAACGGGCTTCGGAAGGTCTTGGGTTTCTTGTGGGGTTTGGTTGTAGCCACACTGTAACTAACTACCCTGTTTTTCGTTCGTCAGCGTCAGCTAGAAACTCTTTTTTTGCTCTTAGAACCTATTTTTTAAAGTCATTATGCATTGTTCTTTTACGCATGTACTGTGAATTTTTTCTATTCGTAAATAAATCCTTATCTATAAAGTATTTATGGTTCCGGTGCACTAGAAGTGGACCAAAAGCAATTCGTTTAAGGTCAGATGTCTGCCATACATTGAAGCCATTTACTGAGAATATTTTCACACTGGATGTGTAGTGATCAAAAGGAATTTGTATTTCCGGACCATTATGTTGCACTTTTATGAAATTTAACAGCCTGATGCATGACCGGCGCATGTGGCGTAATGGTTGGAGGCGCCACTGCGACACTCACGTGTAATCGATCTCTGCGCCCATGATCCACTAAGCTTTCCATCCCTCCGGGGTCGGCAAATTGGTACCACACCTCTTTGCGAGGATAGCAGCACTGGGTCGATACATCGGTAGGCCACCGCGAGTCATTCTAAAGGCCAGATGTGCATTCAATCACCTCCAACGATACTTAATGAAGTCGAAGGCATGGCGCATCTCTTAGGTATTGATCAACGCCGAGAGCTTCATGCTTTATCCTTCTATGTCACACTCATTAACCGTTATTCTGTTCCAAATTATGATGTTAATGATGATGATAAGATGATTTAATCGAGTCTAAGCTCTTGAACCGTGCAGTCGTCAGTACTACTACTTCCATATAGAACTCTCATCAACACAACCGTGCAGGAAATGACTAAAGAACTTCTAGATTTAGTGCAGTATTTAATCTATCATGTCTATTTCACCTACAGTGTACAATTTCATAATGGCTTTAGTTACTGTTGAGGAACAGGATGCGACAATGGTGTGTACAACACTTACCGGTGGCAGTCAGTGGAATAACAATAACGTGGAATAACAACTTTGCTCGCGATTCAACATTTAGAGAACGATGGAGCTGTTGGTTAATCCGCGAGTAGAATGGACGACTGTTTGCACCCCCTTTAGACCCTTAGACTGTTCAGTGATCTGTGTTTCATGAAAGTTTTCACCTTCATATCCTGGCCTCGACAACTTTGTAAACGCCAGAAACACATCAGCTGAATATACATGGACACAGTTCGTTCATTTACATCACTAGTTACTTATATAACTCGTATCTAAGTAACGAGCGGCTCCAAGCACTTTTTCCACCTGTTTCCCTCTTCTACGATAGGTACCCATAAATATGATCGAGTTTGAGTGTGGTTTTGATTCAAAGTTGTCGTTTTTTCTCCTGATTGGCATTTTAAGTGTTTTTCTTGTATCCTAAAGCGAATACCAGGACCAACCACCGTCTTGGTATCAAACTAGTCGCATAGTGGAAAATTTTTCTCTGATCGACAAGGGCGACGACTGCCTGTATTGATGACGACTTAGGTCAGACTTTTGATAGGCTCACCTCGGTACTCCAGGGAATCACAATAGCTAAACCAACAAAACACCGAAAGAGTGGAAATTACCATGAGGCCCGCAAAACCACTGAAGAAAGGCCATCAAGTATCCAAGTAAGTATATTTCGGTGTTTCTTCACCTGTACGATATAGATGCATTCCATGCGATAACGATGATTCATGCTAATTGAAAATGAAATAGCAATCAGTTACAGGTCGAAGGTTGAACCTTACATTCATCACACAATGGATGGTGCAGGCTTCCCGATAATTCTGGATAACTTTTTAGCTACTATAGCAGTAAAAGAGGGAAGCCTTCACACGATTCTATAACTTGCTTGCTCCATCGCTACACCTGCCCTTCTTCTATTGTTATAGTCACTAATTAATATATCTTTAGTCTGTGTTCTAATTAGACTTTGTTCTACCGCGTTAAATAAATATATGTCACTAGCATTATTATTCACTGCAGGCTACTTCATGATCCGTTTTCTTGCGAAGTATCCGGTTTTCTTCGTTATCGTTATTCTCACAATTTATCACCGTTTTCCGCTTACTGGCATTTTCTGTGTCGTAAATATCTTCGCGTTCATGTAACTGATGTAGTCTTTCCTCTACTTTGCAATGAACCGCCTCGCTTACCATTCCTAATGACTTTTATTGGTCAGCGATCGGATTTTATAAAGCTTAACCAAGTCAGGCTACCTGCTCGTGATCTCGGTCGACGACTCCACGACACGAGTATTGTAGGGTTACTATGGTTTTCCAATTGTTGATTGCCTATTATTGGTTGCATTTGAGAAACGATTATTTGTTTACGATACAATTTGCGAAGTAAATGTTTCTATACCCCTGTACTTGTATAGAGTCTTTGCTTGTTCTGTTCCCAAGTTCTGGCGGATAAGTAAGGTGAGTTTCACTGCAGGGCAGTCCCTCAACCAAGAAGGCATTCGTGATTACTTATGTACGGCTGACACCATTGGTCCAACATTTGTCAGTTGATCTCATTACTATCGTTTCAGCCATACCTTACTTCTGGATTCGTCCCTAGTGGAGTGGACTGTATTCCTGCAAATATGCCACCATCTGCATAAACGACTTGGACGCTTTGATATTGCTGGAATGCAACTCCACTTCGAAATGGGATCCCTCTAAAAGCCATCTATTTGAAATATTTATCCGTTCTGATAAGTTAAGGCCTCGGAATAGCACTCGTATCTCGATCACGTGTAAAGTGGGGATTTCCAATCATCATCTGTGACGCGATTCCGTTCAGCTCAATCAGGTTCCGATCATTGTAGAAGACTGATTTGGTAGATTATAGAAGTTTTGGACTGTAAAATGTATGCCTTTGAGCATACTTTCAAAACAACAGCAAAAGATTATGAGAGTACGAACTGAAGACTGTTTTCAAGAATGCAAATTCTTCAGTGGGGTGAGGGTAGTGCAGTGGTTAGTGATGCCGATGATCAGGAAGCGAATGCACCAGTTCAATTCACACTCAAACGCTCTCGTCCAATCCACGTGGGAACGCCTTTGCCCAGTTGTCTCCAGGATTGCAAAGAGGATCAACTCTAGCAGCACAGTATGACGCTTATCATGAAAGCGAAATCCTCAAGCAGCAGCTGAAGCAACGCGCGAAATATTCGAGGGCCGCAATGGACGATAAGTGCGAGAAAAACGAATCGATTGCGAGTGGTGGGATCCGCACAGTAGATGTGATGTAGAATGAAAAAAAAAATGACATAATCACTTCTAAAAAAAACATAATCGAGTGCTTAACTTCTTGATGACCAACTAGACATAACTTCTACTTCTGCTGGCCTCAACAATATATCTGTAATGGGACACTTACTTAGCTAGATACTTGGATGGCCCGTTTCCACTGTTTGTGCGAACCCCCAGCATAATTTGTGTTTGCTTGTATAGCTACTGGACTCCTCTGGAGTCTCGAGGTCAGTCTAGCCAAGGTGCTCCAAATCGTCACCACCACAGGCCGTCTCCGCTCTTGTGAATCAGAGGGATTTGCTACCGCGCAACTAGTTTGATACTAGGATGGCGGTGATTCCTGGTATTAGCTTACTCTTAGCTGGACTTCTTAACGGAAACGCCGGACTTGTTAGCTTGGGAGACTCTGCTAGTGGATGAATCCCCCGCTGTACATCGCAGCCCGACACGCGAGAACACCTCCCAGCCACAATGAAGCTATAGCCCGTTGAGAGGCTACAAGTGAATCCTACAATTGAATAACATATGTAAAAATCTTCTCGGTGGTTTGCTATCATATGTCGAGGCGATGTGTCTCGGTGTGGCATTTTAGAGGTATGCGAGAGATAAACTCGTCTGAAAACGTGTCTTTTCTAATTTTTTAAGTGTGGAGGAAGCCTTTTCCTGTCTGATTCCTAGTACCTTGATCCGCTTTCGATTAGCTATCGAATGAATATATAAAGTGAGGTAAAAAAGTTCTTTAATCCATTGAACTGGAAATGAACACTATCCTTCTGGATGGTCCACTCACGCAGCTCTAATATATAAGTCCAATTTGTCCGTTGGTTGTTAAGGCAGTAGGGAACGTATATCGTAAAAGGTGATCGCGTAGTCGGGCACTCTTTACACTTTCCCTTAGATCTTCGACGCTCGTAAAACTTCCCAAAGCCGATGCGTAGTCCCGTTGCGCATTGAGGCCAAGTGTTGTCCATTATGCTAGTCCCTCGATCCAGACATACAAATGGTAAAGGATAAAGCTCTTGGTGTTGATTTAGCTTTCGGAAATATTCATTCCGTCAAGTGTAAATGACCCATCAGAAACAAACCTATCTCTGCTACAATGTGAATTGAAAATGCTGTAAATAGGTAACGGTGGATATCTGACTTACTCTTTCAGCTCAGGACCTAAATTATTTTTGGATATACTAAGAAAGTAAGTTATTCATTGAGGCTGGACATTCCTCATAAAGAAAAATGCTCCACATTAACCACTCGTCATTCGCTTCTGCATCGTCTCTGCGCACTCGAACAATGCGGTCCGATTTGTTGGATTTACATTATATTGTTTACTTCCTTGTTGATAGAACTAGCTGAGAGACAGGAGAAACAAAGGACCCAGATGGTATGGTGGTAAACGCGTTAGCCTCCGAAAGGGTAATAACGCGTTCGTTCCCCGCCGCATACACATGCAGTCCGGAGTTTTGCAAATATCTCAGCATCATTGTGTTTGTATCACATATAACGCATCCTGCCGTAAAAAATAGTATTAGGCAGTTAATAAAAAGTTTACACTGTTTGTTTTCACTATTTTATTTTATACGATCCGTCTTTCACATCTACTGTGCGGATCCTAGAACTTCATACACTCGATGCGATTCCTCGCATTCATTATCATCGATTATTTCACATTGGCCAATTCAAGGGATAAAAATATCCTTGGGTCAGTTGGTCTAAAAACGTATTGAATTCCTCCAATGATCATCAGCATTCACTTCTTTCTCTGACCACCACAATCTTCCATCTAGGCCTGAGTTGGAAAATCGTTCTTCCCCTCACGTCGTCGCCTCGTCGTCCGTCAGGAGGGCGGGAAACGTTCGCCAGGCCGCCAAGAGTGGTGGCCGAGTTTCCTGCCGCAAGCCGTTTTTTCTCACGCAGACGATTTGAAGGAATCATTTCTATTGCATAGGATGGTATAAGGACATGGCTGATGTCCCTCTGGATTCTCTGGCTTCTTCATCGTTATGTCTTTTCATCCGTCCGTTGTTATCTCTCTTACGTGTTCCTGGAAACTAGAAACGCTATGGGATTCTCTCCAAAGAGCCTCTTTTCTCATAGAAAATTCCCTAGTTTGTTAGGTAAAGCTTGGGAGAACTGAAATGCCTATTTCTTTGGTTTCTTTGAAGGTGGGATCGAGGTGATACTCGTGATTAGTTAAGGTGGTTCGATTGCTATTCCACTCCTTCCTTCGCCATTGCTTTCTAATGTTTTTCTCTTCATTCTTTGGTGTTTTGTTGTTTCAGACTTGCTAGTATATAATCTCTTCGTTCGATCAAGTCTCAGTCCGTTTCTCTTACTCCAAAGTACCGCCTAGGATTTCCTTACTGAGATGGTAATTTTGTTTCTAACCGGTTGCTATAGTTCGTATTCAACAAGGTAGTCAGCTTCCTTGGAAATTTATCATACTGACGTTTCCCTTCTGTTCTTCTCAGGCTTTCCTTGGATTTGGCCAGTCTGCCGACATTACAATAAGACTGAATGACGAGGAATCACGAAAGGTTTGCTTTCTTCCGAATAAATTCGGGTTATTTACTTCCTATTCAGTACCTACGTTCTGTTGCCTGCTTATGTTCAGTATTTAGTAATTGTTTTTAAGACGGCCAAAATTCGAGGAGAAGATGGCCAACAGGAAACTCATTATTTGTTCTACGATGGTGAAACGATTTCTGGCACTGTAAACATCGCGCTAAAGAAACCGAATCAGAAACTCGACCATCAGGGCATTCGGATCGAATTCATTGGACAGATTGGTAAGCCTCAAATGCTTTGTTGTTGCTTTTGCTTTTTTCATGCTGATGTTTTTGCTATAGAGGTATATTATGATCGTGGGAACCAGCATGACTTTATTTCCCTAACGAAAGATCTCGCAAGGCCAGGGGAGTTGACTCAAAACTCTTCATTCAGCTTTGAGTTCCAGAATGTAGAGAAACCTTACGAGTCTTACATGGGCATCAATGTTAAACTTAGGTATGTGAATTTCCGGTGTTTTCCAAGCCTTTAGTTGCACTTCCATTGTATTTATCCCAGAAATCGTCTTCAGCAATGTTTTATAGGTACTTTCTCCGTGTGACGATTATTCGGCGGATAACAGACATCACGAGAGAGATGGATCTCATAGTTCACACCCTAAGTAGTTATCCTGATGCGGACGTCAATCTTAAAATGGATGTATGTTGATTCGATTCTTGTATTGTTCAAGTTTTATGGCCCCATCCTCGCACAAGAGGACTATAGAGTAGACGGTAGGTTTGGAGAGATGCATCTGAACTAAAATTATGAAGGCTAAGTTCAAGGTCCTCACTTTTCATTTTATTGCCTATTAACTCCGGACCGCTGGTGTCCGCGGTGAGGATGGAGCACGGTATTACGTTTTCCGGACGAAAGGAAAGGCTCACTGGTGTGACGGTGAACGCGTTAGCCTCCTGGAAGGATAACAACGTGTTCGGTCTCCGACGCAGACATGAGTGGTCCGTAGTTTTGAAAATAGTTTAGCATCATTATGGCTAAATTTATTATCCTACTTCTGCTTTGTAAATGGCTAAAATTGTTGGTGCTATCCTAACAGAGGGATAATGGTCGCTTATTTGGAACTGGTTGCTTGTCATGAGTGTCAGGCTATGCTAGAAAGGCCAATGAGTACAAAACGGAATTTCTGTGCCACAAAGTTTTTCTTATTCAATTTCTTTTTAGGTTGGAATTGAAGATTGTCTTCACATCGAATTTGAATACAATAAGAGCAGGTTCGTAAACTCTCATCCCGTTGTGCACTTGAATTTTAATGGTCCTTAGGTTTCATATTTGAAGCATTTTTTTTATTTTCACTATTTCAAAAAGGTGCTGACCTGTAACGAGTCTAAACGTGTTGTATTTCAGTTGGTCTTTTGAATATAAAATTTAATGCATTTTTCGTTCCGTTGTTATTAAGGGTCACTCACGGTTTAAAACAACGACTATCTCGTTTCTTTAATGTTTAGATTACGTGGGTGCTAAATCGTAGCTCTTCCATGTCTTTTTTTCAACTCAGGTCAAATTGGTTTGGTTTGCTCTTGCATCATTTTTATCCATTTAGATACCATCTCCAAGATGTGATAGTGGGGAAAATATATTTCGTGCTGGTCCGTATCAAAATTAAACACATGGAAATTGCAATAATAAAGTCCGAAACAGTGGGTTCTGGCCCAAACGCTGCCAAGGAAACTGATCCGGTAGCAAAATTCGAGATCATGGACGGTGCTCCTGTCAGAGGTCTTATCTACCACAGCAGTTCTTTTTAAGTACAACAAATTAATAGCCTGGGGAGACCGTGTAGTTCTGAATTTTCCAGGAGAATCTATTCCAATCCGTCTTTTTCTCGGTGGTCATGACCTTGCTCCTACCATGCGTGACGTTAGCAAGAAGTTTTCTGTTAGATATCTTCTTAACCTTGTCCTGGTCGATGAGGAGGATCGGCGATACTTCAAACAACAGGTGAGCTCTTCTTGCAGTCGTTTTTGTTCTCTGTTAAATCTCTGCTGTTTTTTTAACAAATTCTAAGCAAAAGGGAAAACAAGTTCTCAGCCCAATGTGTGATGTTCCATGGTCACTTCGTTCTTCTAGGAAATAACATTATGGCGTAAGGCCGATAAACAAATCAGAAAACCGGATCCCATCTGTAATGTGATGAGCACGAATGGAAGAGAAGGAAGTATAAAGGTGAATTCGGAGGACGATAATGAAAACGGTCAAGACTCAGCAAATGACGATCAGTAGTGGGGAAAATTTTCTTTGGTTTCAAAATAATTTGATATCAGATCTAATTCAGACAGCTTGAACTCTCTTAGTCCATATCAGACACTCCATACAAGCCACTCCATGTTTGGTTTTAAGTCAAAATATCTTGTTTTCATATCCTCTCTTTGTTCCTTGAATCTTTAGTAGTAACGTTTCTTGTTTGCATTCTTTTATGATGTTAGAGATTTCAGTCAGACTTTTCCTAAGTTATCATCTTCTCATCGGAGTTAGTTATCAGAACTTATCTGTAATCGAAGACATTTCAATCTTTATTGTTTTTCAAGTTTACACTTCGTTTAAACCTATGGATCTTTGATTCACATTGTATTAAGGTTGTTTGGAAGCCCAAAGGTCTAGTTGTACAGTCATTGATAAGAGTGAACGACACTGTTTTACCGTTCTGGTTACGACTAAATGTAGCACTATTTACGTTCTGTGATACGTATGATTTTGGTGATAAAATTTCCATTGCTTTCTGTTTTTTGAGAAGTTGTTCGTTCAGAAAGAATACATTGCTTGAGTTTCGCTTTTTACTGTAAAGTGTTTCGATTAAGACTTAGTAAGCAGGCAGTTTTAGTAAAGCGTAGGGAATTTGTGGAATTGGTAGACACCCGTGATATATCGCTTCACAATATTTTTGTAAGGAAACGTTTTTACAGATCCGATTTCCATATTTGCTTTTACTTGGATACCAGGACGGTCCGTCTTCACGAGTTGTGCGGACTCCAACAGATTTGCCATTCGTTTCTTTCTCGCGCAATCATAGTCCATGGTGGTAGTTTTACTCGAGCATGGTAGCGCTTGCTCGTCTCATACCGTGATCAGTAAAACAACTGCAGCTGCGGGTACAGCTGATTAACTTTGTTTATGAATACGTCCGCCCAACGTGTAGGTGGTCGTCCATGGGGATGTTTGCATTCTCTTGGACTCCACTCCATTGTTCTTTTCTTCCATCTGTCGTCTGCTCTTCGCATTATGTGACCAGCCCATCTATGTTTCGCTGTCGATGTATGTTCTCCTGGATCTCGAAGATGTGACAAATTTCGAAGGTCAGAGCTTCGCATTCCGGTTACATGTTTAGAGTGCCGGTTTTATTTCAGAAGACATCGCTCAAGCGCTCTGTGAGTAGTTCGAAGCATTCTTGGCGTAATTGAAGTATCAACCCACGTCTCTGCAGCATAACAGAGCGCTGGGAGGACCGTAAAATCGTAGAGATGAGCGCGGATTTTTTAAGGGTCCTTCAGTTGGTCAATGGCTTCTTTGAGAGGCCCGAATGCGGCCCAAGCTGCTCTCCTTCTTCAATCTAGTTCGTCCTTCATGTTGTATTCCATGTTCACTGATCGCCCAAGGTAAATGTACGAGGTGGTCTCTGCAATGAGAGAGCCTTCTAATTCAATTTCCTGGCCTTCCCACCATGGGTTTCATGAAGTGGGTCTTCTTACGATTTATGCGAAGTCTGTTCTTTTTCCCTGCTTCGTTGAGCTCGTTGATCATCATCTCTGCTTCGCTAGTACTTCTTGAGAAGATGGC